ACAACAAACCACGCACATGCATTACTTTAAAAAGACASCAACAAAGAAGAGCAGACTGTAAAACCAAATCAAATCAATCCTGGCGGCTGCAGCAATGTGGCACTAACAGAGATATAACAGGTTAAAGAGATCATGGTTTCTTTGTGAATACTGCTTTTACCAATTTTCTGTTCAGATTTCTCACTTGATGACAACCTCTTTCAGAAAAAACACACAAAACTTCCATTACAATGCATCGAGGAGACAAATAAAGGCACCACACAATTCAGTCTCCCCCTCCCAGAAACAATTCTGCTGCTCTTACATCACACAAACCCTCAGCATACTCACAAATATTCATTTCCTTGCTTTCCTCTACCCACCTGGCAGCATCCCATTTTTTTCTTTCTCAACTGGTTTTCTAAAATCCATCCTTTGCTATCCAGACCAACACCTGAACTCACCTCCTGTACTTGCACATTGCTGTTTTTGCGAATCTGGGACTAATTCATTTCCAATTTTTCTAAATTCTGACCACTCTTCAGTGTGCCACACTCTCCACTGGAACCAAACCACTGAATTTAAGGAAGCTTCAGTATTTAAGTTAAAGATTATTTAAAATACTGTCACTGTACTGTACTTCGAAGTTTCAGTTTTTATTTCAACCATATGTTTTTTCCAAACAAGAAAAGTGTCTTTCAAGACATCCATCAAGTTAGAACCATTTAAGAGACACACTATCCCTGTATAAATGTTTGTGAGGTTTTTAAACAAAGCGTGAACAAATTTTACAGAGTTGAACACAAATTTAGTCGGTCCTAAATTCAGCTCCCACTGAAGTCAATGTCAATAGGAAGGGGTTCTTTAAAACTGTTTTCTGATTTTCTTTTGTTTGTTTTGAATTCATTGWCTCAGATTTGTACTTAATGCCAGTCAGAAGCACAACCTGGAGTGCAAAATAGGCAACAGAAATTTACTGATGGAAGGCCTGAAAAGTCAATCAAGGCATGGAATAATTCTAAAATAAAAGTTACACCATSGTGGCAGTAATAAATCAAATGCAATTAACGCATAGCTTTCCACCTTGAAAAGTCAGGCACATGCACACAGACACTCCTCAGCATCCTTCCTAAAGTTGCTTTAGGAACATTGTAACCACACGAAAATCCTATTAGAAGGTGCTGAACTCCTACATTGTGGCTCTTCCGGCAGCCTTCTACATAACAAAAATGCAATGAAGCACCATACAACTTTCCCCCCTTATTATGCAAAATCCTTATCAAATTCAATAGTGTGACATGGTTCAAAATCCTGCCTAACAATGGCTCGCAGGATGTCAGGAGATGCCGGCTTTGTTTTAGCTTCACGTGCTTTTCACTCTATTAAAGCCAAAAGAAAAAGGACCCTGGCATAAATAACCGATAAAGATCAAACCCCACGAAACAATGGGAAGGAAATTCAGAGTTAGGACTGGCACTTGGCTTTTTGCTGAGCCAATTGTGCTGGGCCAGGTGCTGGGCATCCCTGGGTGCCACAACCCGCAGGAACAACAAGGTGAGGGAAGGAACCTCCAGCTCCACATTTCCCGTGGTTTTGTTGGGTCGGGGGTTTAGAAAAGAGCATTTCTGGTTCGGGGGTTTAGAAAGAGGTTTAGAAAGAGCATTTCTGATTCGGGGGTTTAGAAAGAGCATTTCTGGTTCTTGGGAGAAGCTCCGGGGCAGCCCCCGACTCCTTTGTGCGGGCAGGTTGGAATGCAGAATGCGGCACACGTTCCAACCAGCGGGACAAAGGATTCCCTGATCAGGGGGGGACAATTAGTCCCAATTAGGCCTATTTCGCAGCTGAGTGTAGCTGGGGGAAGGGAGCTTCCATTTTCGAGCAATGGGTGCCCCTCAGGTGAGCGGAGGATGGGTGAAGTGACAAGGGTGAGAACGCGAGGTGGTGGCACCATGCTAGGATGGGCGCCTGGTAGCTCCCAGCACTAAGCAGCCAAATTCCCCAAATTTGAGCCCATTCAGTGTCAGGCACACAGCAGGCACACACAGACACACGGACAGGGACACTCACATGTGCACATGAGGCGGCTGGAACCTGCTCTGGTTGATGTTGTAGTGCGTGAACGCCTGMGTCGGGTTGGAGCTGTACTCATCCACCGATATGGAAACTTTGCCTTGTGAAGGAATTCCATGAGCCATCCTTCCTCCTTATGGACATGAGCAGCTCACAGCTTCCCAAGGGTGGCAGCAGGGCAGGGCATCGTGCTCCAGGCAGCTCCCGAGTGCCAGCAGCTCCGCATCAACTCCGGCGTGACCTCTGCCAGGAGAGAAAACCAGCACACGCTGTGTGAGATGTAAACACACACACACATCACTGCACCCTCTCCTGATTTCTGTCCACAGAAATCCTGTATTCTTCATGTATCCATCACCCAAACCTCTAAGCATCACTATTCC